AGTTAAAGGTAATCGATAGTTTTCCCACTCGTCACTAGAAAAATAATTTCAAATATCTATAAAAAATTCGGTTTACATTAACCAAAAATTAATATCATCATTGGCTAAGAAAATCCTCACTAATATTGTAAAAATAAGTTTGACGTCTCTAACCTAAATTGGTAGAAAAGTAATTCCAATAATGTCAATTAAAAAGTAAATTCTATTAATATATATAAAATTAATCCTTGAACTACCGTAAGCTAATGAAAAACATTTGTTTATATTAATAAAAAAATCTCAATTATATAAATAAAAAAGTAATTGTGATGACTTTATTATGAGAAAAACTTCATCAAAATCAGACAAATAATTAATAGAATATTGTTTTATGATGCAGAATATGGTTTGGTAGCCTATGATGGTGCACCACAATTGGTTAATATATAATTGTTTTGGTCAATGTAATTCAAAACTTATTAGGAGCACTAGCACTACCACCCATAGAATTTAGACACGTTACCTACATTTATTTTATTCTTTTCATTATTCATTTTGCCTATGTTGCCTTTGGCACTCATTGTTGCAATCCAACTTTATTATCCACTTCGATTCTTTATTATCCAATTCTTACATCAATATTTACCTTTTTGTTTTTTTAATCTAGTTATCGTTATTAGTATTTAAATTGTTATTATTATTTATTTGAACTTTCCTTTTGTTATTATTTTACTTTGCTTGATAGGGGATCACATTTACAGTCCAACGAAATATATATTTATGAATATTTATTGTTTGCACCTCAATGGTTCCTTCTGCACCCCATGAAGTGTTTAAAAGACAAACTAACCTTGTACGTTCCTAATTGTAGTTCTTCTCTTGACTCTCCTTGTATAATCCTAAATCCGACATTTAACCTTAAATTTTCAAATTCGTATCCCTAAATCCTCAAATGCATTTCTTACCTACGTTTTTCGACCCATTTCAACAAAACAAAAATATAAATTTCCTATATCCCTAATATATAGTAAATGTTAATGTGTACTTTGTTCGTTGTTGGGGACACGACCTTCTTCAAACGTGGGAGAGTAAAGAGTGTGATGCTAGGGTTAGGAAAATAAAGTGATATGAAGTGGGTGGGTGGGTAAATATAAAGAGAGAGAAACATTTTTTTTACCCTAATCAGGTTCAGTTAAGGGATTTAAAATGATTGAGGCTGTAGGAAGAAAAATTGGAGGTGCAGGAAGAAAGATCCTAAGTTTAGACCTTAGTTTTGTGGATACTCTAAATTATGTGATCCAAAAATTTTCAAATCGTAGAACATATGAGAATGACTTTTAAATTATTTAATTTGGAACTATGTTTTGGGATGAGAATTTTTTAGATTGTGCAATCTAAAATATTTGTTCTCATTTTTATATAACTAATGAGTATAAAATTTTTGTTTTATCCTCAGTGTATTGGATTGTTATCATTATAGTAATAAAATGTTGCAAACATTAATTAACATTTTGAAATAAACTAAATTTTAATATAATAAATAAAATATGTTAATATCACGTATGTAATGTAAAAATTAATACAAATATTATTTTTCCTAGATCAAAATATTAGGAAAATATAAAATTTAAAAGATCAAATAATAACTGAATAAATATTCAATAGTTATAAAGAAGATCAATGATCAAATATCTATCATAGAAATAAGGGAGAAAACTAACCATCAAGGAAGTATATCAGTTTGTTAGATTATCCAAGGTTTAATCATTTCGGAGGTCCCTATTTGTATACATTCGTGTTCAAATTAGGCCACGTTATTTGAAAGAGTTTAATGGGCCCACTTTTATGTAGAAAAATGGAATCAATAAAGTCCCTGTCGTTAAATTCTGTGGACGGCGTTAAATGTGTGTCTGGTGACATGGTGAAGTGGCATTTCATAAACCACGTGGCCCATAAATCAGATGGGAACCAGATTTTGCAAGTGTCCAGATCCTTAACACACCATAATGAACCAGTTAAATATGCTGACACATCATCATCCCTGCCACGTCAATTATCACATCATCATCCTCTCCACAAAAATCATAATTCCCTTATCCTTGCCGCCGTGCCTCAACTTGTCGCCACCATCATTGTCCTACGCTGCCGCAAGGCCGTCGCCTAACCCTAATTCGCGTCGCAAAGCCGTTGTAACGTCCATCCTAGCACCGTCAAACCATATCTCCACCACGCAACCTCACTGTCAGCGACGCCATCCATGGCACACATCAAAACCACAAAACCGCACCATCACTGCAAATCCTCCATTGACGCCGCCAAACCCTAGCATCGCCACCATCCTCACCACCAATCCTCAACAAGCCGCCTCCGCTACTACTCGCACTAGGCTGCACCACGAGAACCACTTTATCGTCATTGTCACACCATCTATAGCAACGAGATCATCTTTTTCACCATCAATAACCAGAAAACACCAAACAGATTGCAAAAAAACCAGATCTGACACACCCTAAATGTTTGTCGCTTGCTTGGTAGATTGCGAAAAGTCTTATTACACTCGCGCAAGCTCAAGTCGCGCGGAATACGCCTACAAATAAATCCATCACGGTTTGGCAAAATTTGGTTCAAATCTGATTTATGTGCCAAGTTGTTATGAAGTGCCACTTCACCATGCCACCAGACAACACATTTAATATCGTCACAAAATTTAACGGCAGAAGCTTTATTGATTCAATTTTACATAAAAAGGTACCCAATTAAGCTCTTTCAAAATACGGGGACCTAATTTACACGAATCTGCACAAATAGGGATCTCCGAAAATGATTAAATCATAAATTAAAAATATTTCAATAATTTAAAACAAAAATAAATATGAGGATGATGACGTGTATTAACAAGAGTATGAAGAATAAGATGGGACAAATATGTATATATACACATTCTTATTCTTATACTTATGTGGACAAATTTAAATATACTTACAAAATCATGTTGTTTATTTTCACCTAAAAACAAACTCTCTAAAATATTAAGTAATCTTTCCTTCTACTTTCGACTCAGACTTTATTATAGTAAAGATAAATAAATATTTTATTATTTAGGTTTTAAAACTAATTTAGTTCGTATTTTGTTGAGTTTATTCAATGCGGTCATCTTTTCTTTGTGGTCATTAAAGTTCAAAACAACATGTGAACAAGGTATGATACGTGTCACTTTATGTTTTTTTTTTTAATTTCAAAAAAAATGTTTGTGTCAAGTCATTTTTATTAAATATTTCTAGAATTATTTTTGAACTAACTCTAACTATATTATCATAAAATAATTATTATATTTATATTTGATTTTTACTACATATAAAATATAGGGTTAGAGTTGGTTTAAAAATAATGAAAAAATTTCTTTCTAATTTTAAATTAACTCTAATCATATTATTTTGACATAATGAAGAATTACATAAATCTAATAATTATATTATAATAATATAGTTAATTTTAATAAAAATATCATTATAACATTTTAATAAAAATAAATTTCATCTCAATTTAGAGAGGAACAAAATTGCTTAATTTTAATAAAAATATTAGTATAACATTTATATAAAAAGTTAAATTTGGTCTCAAATTGGAAAGAGACAAAATTGCTAAAAATAGTAAGATTGAATTAAATTAAAAGAACAAAAATAAAAACTAAATGAAATATAAGACATTAACATGTAGCACAGACACTAAGACGTGACACTATTATTTCTATGTAACACGATATTGACTCGACACGTGAATAATTTTTTCATTAAAAGTAAAAAAAATATATAAAAAAAGGAAAGTTAAAAAATAAAACATGACATATCATATTTATATGTTGTTAATTATTTAGATGACATTAACAAAAAAAGACTAACTTAACCAAAAATTAACGAAAATAGAGATCTTATTAATCACGAAAAAAAAGAAGAAAATCATATTGAATAAACTCAATGAAAATAAAAACTAAATTAATATTAAACCTAACTACAAAAAGAAACATGGGGTGCAAAAAGAAATCACTTTTATTTATATTGTATTTTATATCTGTTTTTTCTCACTAGCCCAAATTGGCCCAGTTGTCCTAATAATAGTAGGACCATGCGATTTCCATCCAACTTTTCGCTATTTTTATTCTATGATTTGTTTGTTATTTTCCCTTAAATATTCTGAATAGAAATCTCTATATTATAATATACACAATATAAAATTTGTTTTGATAATGTTAGAAGCTGCACCCTCTTTGAGTAGGAAAAAAAAGCATTTTCGTTAAGTGCTGTTATTTTTGGGAGAAAATAATTAAGAAAAACAAATAAATAACTATTTTTCATAAATTAAAATCATTTTTTTCGTAGTTAATTGAAGAAGTTATCTCATTCAATATCTTTAAATCTATATTTTTATTTCTGTATAAGTTAGTTTTTAACTTATGGAGATAATTTTTCTCTTTGTTTTCTCTTTTAGAAGTGTATACGTAAAAGCTTGTCCAAATATGTCTATTTGTGGAATAAATATGGACAGTTTCTTTTGATTAATATTTTTTTACTTGATTGAGTACAACACCATGCTTATCTTAAGTATAACTTAATGTTGTAACTTAATACCTTTATTATAGTGAAATTTGATTTTTCACTTTGTAAAACACAATTTTTACCTTTTGAATTTATCAAAATTAATTTAATGCAAGTTGTGGAAATTCCTAAGAAATTCCGAACAGCTTTTATGAGTAAGCTATTTATATTCCTACTGTACGTCTCATTCAAACTAACCTACCCAAGAAAAACACCTTGTAATGAGTACTTTTAATCGACGTGGGACCTCCGAAACTTCCAAGAAACTTCTTTTCTCGCATTGTCAATCTTACATAAACTTCTTGGATACTTTCTCAGAACATGTTTTCCAATGTTTCCAAGAAACACAAGAGAAACATCTCAATCCTCACCTTACTTTCCACGAAATTCCTCTTTGCACCCAAATTTAAGTGAATTCATTTCCGACATCTTCCGTCACCAACATCATCAACCCCATTCCCTGATCATCTCACAACACTGTTCCAAATTGTTGTTGAATTGCAGTTTTTTCCCATTTTTTTATATCATGCTCATGATTGTAGTCAATTATCCTTGCAAACTCTTCTAAAACCTTGATTCCAGTGTCAAAATTGAACTCAGAGTCTTTCCCCACATTTTGTCACTCCAGTTAAATTTGCAGTCACGTAACATAACACTACATTCAAGATTGTAGTCATCAGAAACTACAAAAATCTTGACATTATTGTAATCCATATTACAGTCTCATACACTGCAAAGATATTGGAACTGTGATTCAGATTACAGTCACAGACACTCCAAAATCTTGACACTGTTGAACATCTCAAGAATCTTCAAGCTACAGCTGAAACTGTAGTTGCAGGCACTTCAAAAAATTTGAAATTGTTACAGTCAAATTTCCAGTAACAGACACTACCAAAATCTTGATACTGCTGTCAAAATTTACCATTTTCTTAAACCTTATTCTCCAAACAGAAAAACCATGACTGCTTCATCATCACTTCACCTTCTTCCTCTGACAACTTCTTCATTCGATGAAGCACTCCAAAAGCTTAAAAGCGTGTTACCCTTCTTTGGATTCATCAACATGACGATCAGCAGCATGGTCACGATCTACAGCGCGCACAGAAACAACGACACTCCCACCATCGTATTCGTGGCTTTCGTCTACTTCGGATCCTTGTTCTTGGACTATTGCTTCCGCTTGTACCACTCTCTTCCCCCATCTTCGCCATCTTCTCACAACATTAAGGTCGTGATCTGGGTTTTGATCAGTTCCATCATGTTGGGGTTTGCATTCGAGTTTTCAACTTTTATGGGCTTTCTTGAGTCTGTGTTCTTCTTCGGCCTTGTGATCAGTGGCAACTCGTATCTGTTCTATGTGTACTTCATTTGGGACAGTGAGAAGAGTGGTGGTAGTGCTTGCAACAGTGATGATTGTTGTGAGCGTAAACCATTGACAGAGGTTAAGGTTGTCGATGAAGTGTGATAAAGGTACCACCAGAGAGTGAACTAGGTTGAAGCAATGTCTCTGTTTTGATATGAATAAATTCGTTTTACGTGTGTTTGTTTATAAGCAAAAAAGTGTATACCGTGTTATCAACTACTTGGTTTGTGTATTAAAAAGAAAACAAGGGAAATACTTTTATAATATAAATACAAATACTATATATTTTTTTATATAAATATTATTTATTGAGTTGAGACTTTGTATTATATATATATATATATATATATATATATATATATATATAT